GAAGGGAGGAAGAAGGGGGAGGGGGAGGGAGAGAAAGACCCTGTGTATACATAAGCATGGGGTCGGGGGACAATGCATGCATACCTGGGGATGGGGTACACATGCATACTTGGTGTGTGTGCAGTAGACATCAGAGAACGACTTTGGGGAGTCGGTGCTGCCTTCCGCCTTGCTTTTGAGGAGGGGGTCTCTCATTTCTGCTTTTGAACGACCTTCCCATCTTGCCATAGGAGAGTTCATCTGATTATTTTTTTAAGATTTGTTTTATTTTTACTTTATGTGTATGAGTGTTTGATCTACAAAGACACACGCGTGCCTGGTGCCCACTGGGGCCAAAAGAGGAGCTGGGTCTCCTGGAACTGGAGTTGAGGATGTTTGTAAGCCAGTACATGGATGCTGGGAACTGAACCAGGGTCCTCTGCAAGAGCAGCCTGTGCTCTTAACAGTGGAGCCATGTTTCGAGCAGCTCCATCTGACTTTTTACCTGAGTTACAGAGATCAATCTCAGGTCCCCAGACTTGTAGTAGCAAATGTTTTTACCTATCCAACCATCTCCCTGGCCATTTTTATACTATTATTACTATCATCATCATTAAAAATAAGTGTATGTGTGTGTCCCGTGTGTACTGGTGCCTGTGGAGACCAGAAGAGGGCTTCAGATCCCCTGGGACTAGACTTACAGGCAGTTGTGAATTGCCCCATGTGGATGCTGGGAACTGAACTCAGGTCTGCTGAAAGAACAAGCTGTTAACACTGAGCCATCCGTCCAGCCTCTTCCCCACTCTGTTTTTACAAACAGTGTCTTGTATAGCCTAGGCTGGCCTCAAACGTTCTAATTTTCCTGTCATGGGTCACTGTGCCAGTTAGTTTTAAGTCAACTTAACACAAGCTAGGTTCATCTGAAAGGAAGAACCTCAATTGAGAAAATGCCTCTTTTAGATAGGCAGGCAAGCCTATGCAACATTTTCTTCATCAGTGATTGACAGGGAAGACTCAGCCCATTGTCCGTGGTGCCACCCCTGGGCTGGTGGTCCTGGATTCTATAAGAAAGCAGGCTGAGCAAGCCGTGGGGAGCAAGGCAGTGAGCAGCACCCCTCCCTGGCCTCCGCATCAGCTCCTGCCTCCAGGTTCTTGCTCTGCTTGACTGATGTGGAAGTATAAGTGCGCTAAACCTCTTCCTCCCCAACTTGCTTTTGGTTATGGTGTTTCACGACAGCAGTAGAAACCCTAAGACAGTCTGGCTTCACCCCAGGACCTTTCTCAGTCACTGCAGTGCCCTTGGGCCTTACACTCTACTGAATGATTCCTGTACGTCATCTGCTAACATACACAGTAGTTCCTTCTCAGTATCCTGTGCACACACTCTGGCTTCCGGTCCAGGATGCTGACGGGACTCTGCAGTCAAACAACCTCTGCTTCTCAATACCCCTCCCGCCGGTTCCCACCTTCACACTTGAGCTCATTATCGCCATCTACCCAGCTCTCCATCAAAGAGCCGTGGTTCTGGGGCAGCTCTGGGAGGATACCCCATGGAGAGCTCTGCCCTTGGCTGGCACCCAGTGTGTGCTCCACAGGTCAGCCTTCTCCTCCAGGAAGCTCCCTGCGGGAGCAACTGTTAGAACAAGAAGTGATCAGAGTGGGGGTGGTAAAGGGGGGTACCTCTGGGAACTGAGGGGTGCAGAGGGAGGGGGGAAGTTTTAAATGGTGTCTGGGGAGTAGAGCTGGGGTCTGAAGTGAAAGGAGCAAGGAACAAAAGAAAAGGAAGGCATTGTATTGGTCTCGTGGGGAAGACTATGAAAAAAGAAAAAGAAAACAAACAACAAAACAAACAAACAAACAAACCAGGAGCTGGCAGAGGTCTATTGTCGCCAGACCTGGGACTGTACTTCAGTTTAGTCAGCTGAGGAGTACTGATGACCAACCCCCTAGAACTTATACCTGTAACTTCAGCGTTGGCCCACTTTGTAGTGTGTGACACTGGAGATGGAATCAAGAACACACACACATATACACACATACATACATACACACACATATACACACATACACACACACGCATATACATATATATACATATATACATATATACATACATACATACATACATACACACACATATACACACACATACACACACATACAAATACACACACACACACACACACACACACACACACACACACACACACACATATATATATATATGTTGGGCCAGCATCCATCACTGAACCATACCACAGCCAACACATGCCCCAGCTTAGAATCAGGGCTTTTGTGGGTACACTAGTTAAGCTGAGATCAGACTGGTGCATACTCTAAACCTAGTGACAAGTGTCTTTGTAAGAAGGTAAGGGGCAGACTGGAGACATGGCTCGGTGGTTAAGAGCATCTACTGTCCTTGCAGAGGACCCAGATTTGGTTTCCAGCACCCACGCGACAGCTCACAACCATTGAGTAAATCCAGTTCCAGAGGATATGAAGCCCTTTCTGACCTTCCAGGCATGTGGTACAGATATAGTCTCAGGCGCACATACATACACATAAAAATAAACAGCTTTTTAGTTTTTTTGTTTCGCCTGCTTGTATCTCTGCAGACCACCTTCATGCCTGATCCACACATGCATGCCCAGATCATGCTCTCCCTCCAAGCTACCCCAGCGTGGTTGCTTTCAGCCCTGAAACAGCTTGTGGCAACTTGTTAATCACTCTGTGGTGACAATCACTAATACACTCAGTCCCCTCACATAGTGGCTGTCCAACAGCTGAAAAAGCACTGTGCTGGGGTGGAGTAAGGAGAGACACTCACCAGTGGAAACCCATGGGGGCCTGCGAACCCTCTGCTGTCCTAAGGTCACATCGGTTGCAGAGGCCTTCTCAAATCTGTGGGTGTCTGCCCCTCAACGTACTGTCTGAAGCACCATGGGGCCTTGAGGATGTTTCCAGTGGGAGCAGAAGCCTGACCTCATCCTGACCCAGGGCTTCAGCAGCTGTTCAGACTTGGTCTGTTTTTACTTTCCTGGAATCCTCTCCTCCAAAGCCATATAGACTCATATAGCCTGCTGGTCCTTCCCATTCGGCTGCTAAGTGTGGTGTAAAACATCCTGGTCACTCAAGAAACTGGAGGGTATGGGGGTGTCAGGGGCTCCCCTGCTTACACACTGAAGGCCTAAAATCAGCCATAGGCCTAAAATCAGCAATAGGCCTGACATACATGCCTGCTAGCACCAAGTCTTGGGTCTCTGTGGAAAAACACTGAAACAGATGCCTAGGAGTTATTGTAAACAGCCAGCTTTGGTGGAAGGCTGCCAAGCCTGGCTACTCATAGGCCTTGT